TTTCTCCGCACTGACTTCATCATTGCTCGGCTTTGTGGAAGGTGTGGCTGGGGGCCAGTCTCATGGGGAATTGGGAGCTGGGATGACCCTTCATAGAAGGGTCCAGGATGGCCCTGGATGAAGGCAGAGGGGTGGCCTGTGTGCCTCTGCATGGAGCACTCGCTGGTTGTGGCTGCCCTGGGACAAAGGCAGTGCCCTGAGAGGACCTCAGCTGTGAGCACTCGCAGGAAGCTCTGGGCCAGCAGGGGATGAGCACCTGGGTCCTAAAGGGAGGCCTGCGCGTGGCCACCACAGCGTCCGCTGCAGACCTGCTGGGCTCAACTGGAGGCAGTGCCACTCTAATTCACCTTCCCAGTCAGTGCCGGACAGCAGCTACCCAGTGGGCGGGTGTGTGTTGAAAAAAGACAAGCAGCACGGTGGGGATTTCAGTGTACAAGAACCAGGAAGGTGTCGTGGCCCCAGAACGGCCAGCTGGGGGAAGGGTGAGCAGAAAGAGAGGACGGTTGTCACAGCTTGGAGAGTCAGCAGCTTCTCGCAGCTGGAACGTCTAGGCTCGTGTGTGAGCTCAGATAGATCTTAGCTCTGAAATCTGAACGGTAACATCAGATATTCCCAGGACCCCAAGTAAGATGGAATAAGCCAAGAGCATTCTTACCTAATGTTAGTTCATTGTTTCGGCCCACCTGTGACTTCGTGGAGCCCAGGCATCCCCCTTGCCCTCCCCAGAGATGGCCCATTGTTTCAGCCTGTTTAAACCTGTCAGGAGATTACAAGCTGGCTGGGAAGGGTGCGTCAGCTCTGCAGGCTACACGATGGTGGGGCTTTTGGAGACAGCACAAGAACCTATATAGAAGCTGACCTTGGCCATGCAGCCGGGCCCAAGAGCCACGCTGGACAAACACTGCCATATGGTGGTGCCCTTTCCGGAAGCCCAGCCAATGGGTTCTATGTCCCGTGTCCCTCCTTGGACTGCCTCAGATTCCAAGACACAGCCCAGCCCAGGGAGCAGCCGCTCCCTCTTGTTTCATGCGTGTTGGTGCTAACGCTCATTAATAAGAAAATAACATTTATTGAGCATGAGCACATCATTATAGTAACAATGACAATAGCTAAGCTTTATTAAATGTTTACTGTAATTGAATGCCAGGAGTCATGGCGAGCAGTTGGCATCCTGTCTAATTAAACTTGCAACTCTTCTGTAAAGAAGTTCTTTTTATTATTCCCGTTTCACAGATGAGAAACTGAGGTTACGGGGGTTTAGGTGAACGGCCCAAGAACACGCAGGTGCAAAGCGGCAGAGCCAGGATTTGTGCCAGGCCTGGGTAACTCGAAAGCAAAGTTATGCTCCTGTTAATGTGGGGAGAAGTGGGCTGAGCGTCCTCTGTGGGTCTGCCCTTCCCCTCTCTCAGCCCTTTCCCATGCTTTTTAATCTCTGCCCCTCTTATAGGCATCAAGGATTGGCTAACTTTTTCTGTAAAAGGTCAAACAGTAAATATTTTGGGCTTGCAGGGTAGGGCATAAGGTCTCTGTAGCAGGTACTCGGCATTGCCCTTGTAATGCAAAAGCTGCCATAGACAATATGTGAACGAATGGGTATATGACTGTGTTATGAAAAAACTTGACTTACATCAAGCTGCAGGCACGGATTGGCCTGTGGGCTGTAGTTTGCGGGCCCCTAGGCTAGACCAGGAGACACTCCTGCCAGGAAGGATGGTGATCTGATAGGAGGCAATGTTTCCCCTCCCTGATACGTTTGGATTTTAAAAGGCCATCCCTGGGGTGTAGGCAGTGCTTAGTGTCTGAGGGGGTTAATCTGTTGTGGGAACAGGGAAGTTGCTTTCTGACTCCGTCTGTCCTTCAAATCACACCATGAGGTCAACTGGCTGGACAGCCCGTGTCTTTGTGTGGGAAGGGGAGAAGCCAGCTGGAGCCAGCCTGACATGTACGAATGCTGACGTAGTGTTAAGAGGAACCAGACTTGATTACTTTCAGGTAGGAACACAGGGTGACGTTCTGTGTGTCCTTGAGGAAGTTACTTCCCTTCTCTGAGCTTCACTTTCCTCATCCATAAAATGGGGATAAGGCTGCTTTGAAAACTGTCCCTGCTCTGTGCAAACGAGCGGTGGTTCCGATGGGTGACATTGCTGCATTGTCATGTGCTCCCTGAAAATATTGTGAAATGCAAGGACAGTGTATTTCATGCTTTGTTCTGTTCCTGCTCCTGTGCACTCCTATGAAGCCTTTCTAGCCTCCAGAAAGGGCAGCGTTCTAGCCTCCAGGTGCGGTGCAGTTACTCTCCTGCAGAGAAACCATCAATGGCTCCCCATTACCTATAGATTAAAGTTCAGACTCAGCCTAGATTCAAGAGCCTCCTCAGCCAGGCTCTTTTCAGTCTCTTTCCTGTGAAACTTCCCTTCCCCAATCCTGGCGGGACAGTCTGCCTTTCATCCTCCATAGCCCTTGTTTTTTATTCCCAAATAGCTCTCCTTCCTGTTGATGGCTTGAAAGTCCACGGCTGGGGACTCATGTCTTGGATGATTAGGATGTTGGCCAAATAAATTTTTAAGAAGTCCAAATGTGCCCTTAGCATTGGTAACTTGATGTGAGCAGGCTCAGCTTAGAGACGGTCATCCATCCCCCAGGAGACAGGCGAGGCTGGTCATTCGTGTCTGTGGCCACCAGGTGGGGGCAGAGGTGCTGGACGTGGCCCCAGCTCCTCCCACCCTGGCTGGTGGCCACTCGGGAATTCATTAACTGTTTACTTTTTGTTGTCGATATTACTGAAGGGTGTGTGTGTGTGTGTGTGTGTGTGTGTGTGTGTGTATAAAATTGAAAAGATCCAAATGTAAAGTGAGGCAAGTAGCTTAGATGAACAGCTGAGATTACACCGTATGACTGCACAGCTAGGTAAAACAGTGCATTTCTGTCTAAGCGTGAACTTCATTCCTGAGACTTCCTTCTATCTCATTTCATAGTCATATATACCTATATTCTTCCCTTGTGTCTGATAGTTTCCTTTTTGATGCCTTTTAAAATTTTGACTTTGATGTGTTGACTTGCCTCTTTCATTGTATATGTTTAATTATGATGTTGAACACATTCTATTTTTAGCGTTGGTAATATTTCACCAGAATTTCTAAACTTAAATTCATCTTCTCACCCATTGAGATCAAAGCAAATATATATATTTTTCATTCTCTTATATAGAAAGTGAGGAATTCAATATTATTGGCTTTTTAATCTCCCTCACTCTTCTCTTGTTTTTAAAAATTATTTTAGCCTAAGGATTAGATCTCCCTCTTTGGCTTTCTAAGCTTTCTCTTTTGAAAGATTTTTGATGTTTTTGGTCTGTTGTAGCTTGCTTCAGTTCCAGGTGCACCAATTAATTAGGCCAGTGGTTTTTAAACTTGCCTGTGCATCAGAAGCCTGTGGAGGGCTGTTTACAACACGTTGCTGAACCTTGCCCCCCAGGAGTCTGATTCAGTGGTTCTCAGGTGGGGGCCTGAGGACCTGCATTTCTAACAGGTTCCTAGGTGATCTGGGAACCCCACTTTGAGAACCACTGAATGCATCTCACAAACAGTCCTTTTTCCTTTGGTGCTCAGAGACTTTATACTCTGCATCTCTGTGCTCTGCATTGACGGTGCATCTAGATCTTGCAACTCCAACATCCCAATGAAAAATCCTTTTCTGGATTTAGCTTTTGAATTCTGGAGCTATTTTTGGATAACTTTGTGTAGAAAAGACAGAAGACTAAAAGATTTTTCGAGCCTTCTTGCAGTTGCCTTCACTCATGAGGATGTGGTTGTGAACAGAACTCTTGGGTGCATTGTTTTCCTCGGGTTTCTGGAGGTGTTGCCTGCCCTCCTTTGTTGGTGGGAGATGTCTGCAGAGTGTCAAATTTAAATCCATTGAAAGAAACCCAGATTTTGTTTCCCCCTTCTACTTAAAAGTATTTGGGGTTAGGAATTTTCTTCCCCCTTGCGGCTTAAATTTATGACAAGCAATGTCTTGAAGTTGATTTCTGATCATTAATTCTTCCTGAAGCTCAATAAATTTTCAGTATAACGGCTTGTACACAGTGCCTCACATAATTTTAGTCTCACTTTTTTTTCTTCTGTATAAGTCTGTTGTCATGCGGAAGCAGTGCTCTCAGGGGTGTCTTCATAGGAATGCTTCCTTTGTTCTCAGCTGTGAAGACAGCATCCACTGTCTCGCCACCATGCCTCTGCCTGTGCCATTCCTTTTGCCGGAGGCACCCTTCCTCCCTTCTCCGCCTGGAAAATTCATGAGCATCCTTCAGGTGTCAGCTCAAATGCTGATTTCCGTGGGACCAGCCGTGATTCGCTCTCAGAGTTGCACCCCTCCTTGGTGTGGCCACCTGAACCACGTCGTGGCTGCGTCATGGTGCCACTCACCTTATTTTTGTGTCCCCGATGCCTAGCCCTTGGTTATGGTGGCAGCCCCCATCTATTGGGCGCTTACCGAGTACCAGGCACTCTTCCATCCTTGCAGCATTCCCGCAAGGTTTGCATACTCTTGTTATCCCCATGTGGAGATTGAGAAACAGCACTTTTGGGGGAGTTAAAGTCCTGTGCCCCTGGTGAGGCTCGAATACAGATGAGGTCAGGCAGCTTTTGGACTCGGTGCCCTTTGAGCAGTAGGCACTTGACACTTGCTGAGTGAGTGATGAATGAACAGGTGGCCGTGAGGCAGACAGCTCTGGCTGATAGAAGCACACAGTGGGGATGTGTTTGATGCGAGAAAGGATAGGAGCGTTCCATGGCTGGCTGAGCATGGGAAGGCTTGGGGTGGAGGCTGGGGAGACACAGGCTGAGTGCACAACCTTCCACAGCAAGGATGTGGAAGGCAGGCAGACTTTGTCTCTTTGGTCCTCCGTTATATGGCCCAGCACCTGGTACCTGGAAAAGGCTGCTCTCAGCAAGCAAGTGATGGTTAACGCTCCAGTCATGACGCCCTGTTCGCCTCTCTCCCTGCAGCCTCGGCTTTTATCATCGCCATGCTCCTGGCCAGTCTCAACAGCTGCTGCAACCCCTGGATCTACATGCTCTTTACGGGCCACCTCTTCCACGAGCTTGTGCAGCGCCTCCTCTGCTGCTCCTCCAGCTACCTGAAGGGCCCCCGGCCCGGAGAGACCAGCGTCAGCAAAAAGAGCAACTCGTCCACCTTTGTTCTGAGCCAGCACAGCTCCAGCCAGAAGAGTTGCTCACAGCCATCCTCGGTGTGACTTCCCTGGGGCTGGACTGCCTCCCTCCGCTTGGTCGTGTGACATGGACAGGCTGCCCCTTGGTGGCCATGTGCATACGTGTATAAGGTACCTTTCAGTTTGTATCCTTCCACACCTTGGGGCAGCTTGAGTAGGGGATTCTGACACAGGGTGGGGAAGTGGTCTCCATGGGGGAAGATGATAGGGCGACAACCACCAGACAGCCCCTGGATCTCCCCTGGACTCCCACAGGCACGTCTGCTACCCTGACACTGCTGCCCCTGGCTGTTGGATGGGTTGCTCATGTTTCCTGAACCCGTGATTTCACTCCAGCATCTTTTGTTCTCCTTTATTCTGGGATCTTGTGAAAAGTAGTAAGTGTAGGGTTGGTGAGCAATTGAGTGTGGAAGCCTAGTGTCCTTGGAGTAAGGAGTGGGAGTGGGACCACAGATGGCAAGTGGCACTCATGTCCTCCTGACCTCACAGTGTGTTTGCCTCTGAGTGGACTGTCCCTGGGCACCAGCTTGTCAGAGGGTGGCTCTAGGAGCACGGATTCCTTTATGAAACCATTTGGCACAGGTGACGATTAAAACTTAAAAATGGGTTAAAAATGTTTAAGAAGCAAATATTTAAGAAGTGATTAGGAAATAAAAAGAAATAAAAGGCATCTAGACTGGAAAGCAAGAAGTAAAATCCTGTAGATGACATGATTTTGTATATAGAAAATTCTAAGGCGTTCATGCACACACACATGCACACACACACCCATTGTAACTAAAAAATGAGTTCAGCGAAGTTGCAGAGTAAAAGGTCAATATCCAAAAATCAGTTGTATTCCTTTATACTAGCAATGAACAATAGGAAAACGAAATTAAATAATTTCATTTATAATAGTATCAGAAAGAAAAAATAGGAATAAAATTAACAAAAGAAGCACAAGACTTATAACCCTGAAAACTACAAAATATCATTGAAAGAAATGGAAGACTTAAATAAATGGAGAGACATCCTGTGTTCTTGGGTCAGAAACTTGAAGATTGTTAGGATGATAATACTATCCAAACTGATCTACAGATTCAATGTAATCCTAGCTAGCTTCTTTGCACAAATCGATAAGCTTATGCTAAAATTCATATGGAAATGCAAGGGACCCAGAGTAGCCAAATAAACCTTGAAAAACAAAGTTGGTGGATTCACACTTCCTGCTTTCAAAATTTACTACAAAGCTACAGTAGTCAGAAGAGAGTGGTTCTGGTATAAGGGTAGACATATAGACCAGTGGAACAGAATAGACAGTACAGATATAAACACTTACATTTATGGCCAATTGATGTTTGACAAGTGTGACGAAAATTCAGTAGGAAAGATAGTCTTTTCAACAAATGGTGCTGGGACAACTGGCTACCTACATGCAAATGAATAAAGTTGGACCCCTACCTCACGCTCTATGCAAAAATTAACTAAAAATGCACCAAAGATCTAAATTTAAGAGCTGAAACTATAAAACTCTTAGAAGAAAACATAGGTATAAATCTTTGTGATTTTGGATTAGGCAGTTGCTTCTTAGATATGACACTTAGATATAAGCAAAGGAAAAATAGATAAACTGGACCTCATAAAAATGGGAAACAAAACTTTTGGGCTTCCAAGGACACTATAAAGAAAGTGAAAAGACAACTCACAGAATAAAAGAAAATATTTTAAAATCATATACTGGTATCCAGATTATATAAAGAACTCTTACAACTTAATGAAAAGACAAACCAGGCAATTTTGAAAATGGGAAAAATATTTGAATAAGCATATGAATAGACAGACATATTTTCTTAGCTTCCCCAAAGAAGATATACAAATGGCCAATCAGCTCATGAAAAGATGCTCAATATTACTATTCATTAGGGAAATGCTAATCAAAACCACAGTGAGATCCCACTTCACACCCACTAACATAGCTATAATAAAAAAGTCTTAGCAAGGATGTGGAGAAATTGAAATGCTCATACATTGCTTGTGAGAATGTAAAATGTGCAGCCACTTTGGAAAATAGCGTAGTCGTTCCTCAAAATGTTAAAACACCAGCAATGTCATTTTTAGGTATTTACTCAAGAGAAATGAAAGCGTACATATACACAAAAACTTGTACATCTATGTTCATAGCATAAAAAATGGAAATAACTGAAATGTCTATCAACTGATGAATGGATAGATAAAATGGCACGTTATCCAGTATAAGAAGAAGTGAAGTGCTGATTCATGCTACAACATGGATGAACCTTGAAAATATTATGCCAACTGAAAGAAGCCATTGCAAAAAGCCACATACTGCAGTATATGATTCCATTTATATGAACTGTCCAGAATAGGCAACTCTATAGAGACAAATCTTGGAATAGTGGTGGCCAGGGGCTGGAGGCTGGGGTGAATGGGGAGTGACTGCTAACAGATATGGATGGGGCTTCATTTTGGGGTGATGAAAATTTTCTGGAATTCGTGATGATGGCACATGATTTTGAGAAAATGCTAAATACCACTGAATTGAATACTTCAAAAAAAAATTTTTTTTAAAGTTTACCAGCTGAATTCAGGGACAGCCAGCTTGAAGGATGAATTCCTTGTAATCTCTTACTGCTCAGCACTTGTGTTTCTCTATGTGACTCACCATTTCAGAGGAAACCCATGGTGTTCTTAGTCTATCTACAAGAGGTGATGTTTCCAGTTTGGCCAAAACGACCAGCAGTGACAATGTGCCCACACTGCTCTAGTAGAGGCACAAGTGTTTTGTTTAGAAGAGCAATTCACCAAGGGTCTCAGAGGCTCTACTTTCCTGGTAAACATGTTCTCACAGGTCCTCTAAGCCTTGAGGTAGGACATGACTGTGTCCAAGAAATACCTTTAAGTTGTTAAATACAGGACATTATAGATCAGAGGTTTCCCGACTGAGACTGGCCAGCTCAGTGGCATTCTCGAGCACAGTAAAATTTTTTTTGTTTGTTTTCACACACATTTTTGGACTCGCTGTGATACAGCAAGAGTACTTCCCTAAAGCCACAGATCCACTCTGTCCCTATACACGTTTGTCTTCTCCCTCCACCCTGCAGTACACACACGCACACATGCACACACACACATGCGTGTACACAGTAGAATGAGCTAGCAGGGTCTAGATGTTCAGGGAGAAGAGAGGTATGTACTAAACTCCAATGTTCAAAGTCTCAGCATTTAAGTTCAAGATCTGAAGTACTAACTGGGAATTGAAAACAGCATGATCTTTGGACCCAGATGCATTGCACAGTGTTGTTGTGACATGCGCTTAGAGCATCAACACCAGCCAGTCCTTGCTCTTTGGGAAGATAGCAGGATGCTGGTTTGGGGTCTCAATGTCCACATCTGGCACAAGTGGGGCACTCTGGGTACAGATGCAGCAATGGTGGGGTCTGTTGGCATTGGAGCTTCTCGGCTCACCACTCTCAGGGAAGTTGCCTTCCTAGCCACCAACAGAAGCCACTGGGGACCAAGGAGATAGCCACTTAGAGTAGATTTTTCTGACCAGGGGCACAGCCTTCCTGAGAACACTGGATGCCAGAACCATCTGGGACACTTTTCCTCATTCTCCTGTGAGAGCTTTGGATGGTAGGTACCTTGGGTCCCATTATGGTGCAGCAGTCTGTGTCCTATAGCAAATCAGTGCCATTTGATTTCAGCACCCCTGGCCATGCACCCTTCCCCTCCAAGCTCATCCTGAAGAATATTTTCAATGTCTTTCCCCAAGGAAAGCCTGGAGAGATGAGTGCGGGGTCCAGAATACTACCTCGAGCTCAGCCTTCTCCTTCCTTCTGTTTACAAACCTAACATGTGGCTGGAGGTGCCAATAAATTGGAGCATGCAGATTTTCTTTGTGAATGTTTTATTGTTCTGATGGTCACAGTGAAATGGGAATACTTGAAGACAGCCTTGTTTCTTTAGGCCCTAAAAAATATCTGTCACACAGTTTGGTCTCCTTTTGGGATGGGTCTGTGGATTGACACTGTAGGTGGTTGTCTTTTATGAAGATCCTGGTTTCAAAGTGCTTACCATTTTTGTATTTAATTGCAGTGAAACACTACTTAATGCAAAATGTAAATTCCTTGATTTCGTTCTACCATGGTGCCATTTCGTGGTACCCTCATGCACTGTGCCAACTGGTGAATGGCGTGGCCAATAATGAGATGTCTGCTTCATTAGCTGCTTTATAAATGGTATACTTAATAAACATTTTTTTCATACATTGCTTTGCCCTCTTTCTCCCTCCCAAGAATGGTGACCATATCTGGTGCTTGCAGACTTGAATTCCTTTGTGGGGCTGCAGACTTACCTGTTTGATTATGACAGAGGTGCATCCGGGCTGTGTCAGGGGGTAGGGTGGGGTGGAGATGCCTGGTCCGGTTGTCCTCAGTCACAGGTCCTCTCATTTGTCTGAATTCTGTCAGAAGATGCTCTAAGTCCCAGGAACAAACCTCTTGTATGATGTGGCCACATCCACTGTGTGCCACAGTCTAATTCTGGAGATAACAGGATTCTAGATTGTCATCTTCAAGGGACCCTAACATGTGTTTCCTCAAGTGGGATATAGGGGTCACCTGTGGAATCAAATGGGTTTGTGGTCATTCCTGGGTGCTGCTGCTGAACCACACTCTGGAGCTGGGGCCCCAAACCTGCATTTTAAACAAGAGTCCCTGATGGCCCGGATGTAGCCTACGAGAGGGAGCAGAACGCCACCTCCCTCCTCTGACCCATTGGCATCACGCCCCCAGGGTGCCCTTCTGTGTCCTATTTCCCAAGGGAATTCCTGGAAGAAACAGAACTCCTCAAATATATATGCATCTGAATGTGTGTCCTTTCTCCAGTTCTGTGAACTTCATAGGTAATGGAGCAGCTGCCATACTCCGTGCCCAGTGAGCTTGAAAATTGGAGTCATGATCAAATTGGGTTTTAGCAAATGCCAAGATGGTGAAAAATTTGTGCATAGCCCAAGATTCCAAGTCTGCAACTCATGGCCTAATGGTTTCAAAAGGTGCTTGGAAGGGTGGGCCCTTGGAGGAGGGTGTCAGTAATGCTGGCTTTAGTCCTTTTCATCAGGAGGAGCCTGGGCTTGCTGAATCCACTTGAGAATGTGAAGAGCCCCAGGGTAGAACCGACAGCAGTGGGCTGGAAACAAAGCGCTGATGCTGGCTCGCTGTGCGCCTTTGGGCAAGTCTGTTGACCTCTCTGGGCTGTAACTTCCTCATCTCAAAAACACTAAGGGATGAATGATGACGTATTGAGGAGCCAAATATACTGATACCGGCAGGTTATTTAAAAATGCATATAGGGCTGGCTGAGTGGCTCAGTTGGTTAAGAGCTCATTCAAGAGTGCGAGCTCTGAGCAACAGTGGTTTGAGTCCTGGCCCGAGCTGAGCTGCTGCTGAGCTGCCAACAAATGGCAGGAGGGCTTAGCTAACAACAACAACAACAAAAAAGCAAGATGAGCTTGTTATATAAAGATGTGNTGTGTGTGTATAAAATTGAAAAGATCCAAATGTAAAGTGAGGCAAGTAGCTTAGATGAACAGCTGAGATTACACCGTATGACTGCACAGCCAGGTAAAACAGTGCATTTC